GGGGACTCTGCTTTCCAAACCTTAGCACCAAAACCTAGCTTATTACGTTCTCCTGCTAACTTTGACTTTGTGGCATGCTTTAAAAAACACTTTAAAACTCTAATCAGACGGACATTTGGATAATGTTTTTGTGTTCTGTGTTGTTTTATTGGGTTCATGTGTGTTCATTTTGATCCTGTACTAACTTTCTTTTTTTTAAAACCTCTGTAAAATGTTGACTGATTTCTTGTAATAAAAACCTAGTCTTCTTTCTGATTATTACTCATGCATCACTCAGCAGTAATCTGCTGATTATGTTTCCAACTCATTAATTTTTTGGATTGTAAATATTCAGAATCCACTCCTAAAGCTTTAAGTGGCACCATTACAAGTAAGCCCTAAAGAATTATGAGATTTATTACAAAGTGCAAGTACTGAATTCACAGCTTTAAGAAGCTGGGTACATGAGATGGAAATCCTTGTGATTTTTACATGCAACAGAAACAGTGGGTGTAGAAAGTCACAAATTTGTTAATCACTTCAAATTAACCTCAGTTTGAATACAGCAAATATAGCAAAAACATAATAGTATATAATAGAATTACAGTGCGAAAAGGCACAACCTGATACAGCATTAAAAATATTAATGCTATCAGCATTACTAACAGTGTGTGTGTGTAATTTTAGTAAAGTAGCTAATTAAACTAGCTATTATCAAGTAGACTGCAACCTCTTCCTTTAACAGTTTTACATTTACAATTTTTCTCTTGTAAATCAAGCAATAAAAACCAAACCAAGCCCATACAGTAAAAACAGTTTGTCACAAAACCTTGTTCTACAGAACAAAAAAAATAAAGGAGTCAGTTCTGTAAAAGCATTGATGAAAGCGGCAGAGTTTTTTAATTAACAAAAGTTACACAAACTGTAACACAAACACAGCTACATACATGTGCTTGGCATCATTATCTCTTTTTTCTTACACAGAAAACAACCAGTGATTTACACATCATGAGAAAATAAACATATTGTGGTGAATCTTCTGTTGTTATTCTAATAATGGTCATCCATCCATTGTGTTCTGCTTATCCTCATCAGGGTTTGCCTGCTGGAGCCTATCCCAGCTGTCATAGGGCCAGAGGCAGGGTAGACCCTGGACAGGTCACCAGTCTATCGTAGGGCTAACACAGAGAGACAGACAACCATTGTCTCCATCCCCAGAATCATCAGTTAACCTAACACCCATAAGTGCATGTCTTTGGACTGTGATAGGAAGCTGGTGTACATGGAGAGAACACAAGCAAACATGGGGAGAACATGCAAACGCCACACCGCACCACTGTGTTACCATATGGCCATAATTTACAAAAGAACTTCATGTTTTCTTTAGTAGATCCTGGCAAATTCAGCATTCTATTATTTTCATGACTACAGACAAGAAAGTATTTGTTCTTGGTGAACCTTCTGATGATTTTTCCTTTAAGTAACATACGGACTCCCAAGGCATAGTGTGAAACTGTGTTGTGTGTTTTTTATATTTTACACTTTGCACCACTGTGATATACTTTCCACTACAGTCCAGTGAATATATATGTTATATCCAGACACTGAAATAAATGTATTATTATGTGTCGCCAAACTGTATTTTATCTTACTTTGCTTATTTAGTTAGCTCACGCTCATGTTGATAATTTACATTTGGAGAATTCTACATTTTTATTTTAAAAAGAGTAGAAAGTTTTATGAACACTCTAAGGAATACTAATGAAATGAATGGACCACAGCTGTGAACTCAATTCATGTTTTTCTATTATGGAAACTTTCATTACAGTGGATTTCTTCTGTTGTGGGCATGTTTGCGTAGACCTCTTCATCTCTACCTGGATCTTCATGGTGGCTACAGGCGCGTTGCTTTTTGTAGGTCAAGACACTTTCTTGATTTCCATAAATCTAAAAAAGAATCAGCACACAGTAAGCAGAACAATGAACAACACACATTGCAGAGACCTGGGCTGTTGGAA